ATATATATATATATATATATATATATATATATTAAAAACATGATAATAAATATCCTAAAAACCTACAATATAATCAAAGTAAAGAGAATAAAAATGGCATCCTCAACAATGGAACTATATATCTATGGGAGTCTCCAGTTCCATGGGAGTCCTAGGTCTGATCATATAGCCAGGTCTGAGGGGCTTTTGGAATAACAAGAGGGATGGAACCAATCTAATTTCAGAGGGAAGGATGTTCCATAAGACAGGCATTACACCAGAGAGAGCACGTCTTCTGGAAGCCATCCAGTGTAGATCCCTGGCCAATGGTACCTACAGATCTGCTAGGCCCTTCAGACAGCCCAGTCCCATGCCATGAAAGGCTTTCAAGGTTAAACCTAGCATCTTGAATTGGGCCTGGAAGCAAAGTGATAACCAGTGCAGCTTGTGGAGTAAAAAATGTAACATGCACTGTTCTAGGAGCATGAGTGGTGAGATTCAAATATGTGAAGAACCAGTTCTATTCAGCAACAAAGATGGCATAGATCTCAAATAAGAGGGCTCCAAACAACAAAGTCAATCATTCTTGCCAGGGTTCAACCCATTCCCCATTCAGACATTCATAACTTCCAGGCACCAGGATAAAATGGTCATGGGATGGCTTAATTCACCAGCTAGAGATATACAATTGATGGATGAGATCACCCAGTGGTCTCACGTAGATATTAAAAAACCAGAGGAAAAAGCACCAAACCCTGTGGCACCCTACCTAGATGGGGCTAAGGGTGGGGCCTTTTCTCCCCAATCATTGCCAAGTGAAACCAACCTGAAGGAAAGAGCTGAACCAGCACAAACTGTGCTGCCCACCCCCAGTCTTCTGAGCCAGTCCAGAAGGCCTATGGTATGAAAGGCATTGAGAGATCAAGAATGGCAAGGATGTACTATCTATCCATCCTACACACACCAGATGTCATCCAAAAACACAACAAATGCCTTTTCCATACCCAGGTCTGAATCCTTTTCAGGATTCAGATACTCCATTTTCTCCAAGACCCTCTGAAGCTGTTCCACTACCACTTTGTTTACCATCTTCCCTCCCCAAAAGGGAAGTGAGATACTGGATGAAAATTGAACAGGGTCCATTATGGTTATAGGTTAAGGACTACCTAACAATGGTTCCCAAGAGCATCACATTTCTTGTCTCCCAGAATATTTCTTCATGCCTGTCACCACCATAATACTTTGGTCCATCTCCAACCACCATATAATAGCCATTTCCAGGACCCTCAGTTCCCTGACTCAGGAAGCATCAATATTCTCAGCCAATGTCCCGAGACACACTGAGGCATTTTAGCTTACCAGCTCTCAGCACCAACAGGGTCCCCAGAAACAACTTCCCCCCTTTCTCCTACTGCTCTCACCCACAGGTAAGGTCCCCTTCCCCACTCACTATCATCAGTTCCCCCTCTGACTCTCACTCACATTTGCTCCCACCAGCTAGGAGAAATTCCCAAACCCTTACATCCCTCCCATCAAAACCACGTCTGGTTCCTCCAAAGGGAGGAAGGAAACGGGAGAGTCCCCTCAACCATATTGCAGTTTAAGAGGTTTAGAAGACTGCTACAAAGCAATCCTCAAGCATAGCTTATTATAGAGGGCAGCTGAGGGTGAAAGTGTACTTTATAAATACCTCACACCATTATCCCATATTATACTTCACATAAAGAGATCAGAGTGAGACTAAAAGAATAGCATACTACTAATCCTATAGTATCACCCTGTGTCATTAATCCCACTTTAAAATTGCATGAGGGTGGGGTAGGGAAGGTTATATTAAAAAGGTACCCTATCAGGATTCTACAATGTTGTTCACTATTGCTTACAATGCAACGGAGTCCTATCTTAAAACTGCAAGGCAAATGTAGGACCGAAATGCACTGAGATTGCTAGATAAACTTTTTTAAAGGAGAACAATGCAAAAAAAATTATTAGCCTATTTTAAACAATTGCAAACAGAAATTTTAAACTTGACTGACTTGTCTGCAAAAGCTTTGAATTTTTTAAAAAATGAAAAACAATCATATTGTTCATATAAAATAAAGATAATTAGCAACCAATTTGTCTAATGTACATACTAATATGTAAATTAATATGCCTGGATCTAGGGAACTGAAACAGGCAGTGCTACTGAGGGGGGGAAAAAAACTTCACTGAATGGCTGATCTGAAGCAAGGAAGCTGCAGGTTCAGAAATGCCCATACTTCTCTATTTCTAATTACTCATCCCAAAAATGACTTTTCCAGTTTATAAAAGCTGTTTGGAAATTAATCAACATGTAACATCTGATTTGTCTTCAAGAAACGGGTACTTCAAAATCAGTAATGAAGGATGTTATGAAAAATCACAGCTAAGGTGCATAGCAATAGCAATAGCACTTAGACTTATTTACCACTTCACAGTGCTTTACAGCCCTATCTAAGCAGTTTACAGAGTCAGCGTATTGCCCCCAACAATCTGAGTCCTCATTTTACCGACCTCGGAAGGATGGAAGGCTGAGTCACCCTTGAGACGGTGAGAATCGAACTGCCAAACTGCTGGCGGCCGGGAGTCAGCAGAAGTAGCCTGCAGTACTGCATTCTAACCATTGCGCCACCATGGCTCCATACACATACGTATGCATAGTGTGGCTATCAATTCAATTAAATTAAAACTAAGATTTGCTTAGAACATTATGTGTATATTCCTAAAGTCTTTGATAGAAGAAAGATTGAACATAAATGCACTAATAAAATAAATTGCTGAAATTAATTAATTAATTAATTAATTAATTAATAGTTTGCTGCCCATCTAGCTGCAAGGCAACGCTCAGATTCCAAAACACTGATGGTTATGCAAGGTCTTGGATTCCATTCCCTAAAAATGCTTTAGAAGGTGTGAGAGTGCAACAAATACAGGTAATCCCCAACTTACAACCACAATCGAGACAGATGTTAAGTGAGTTTTGCCTCATTTTATGACCTTTCTTGCCACATTAGTTAAGTGAATCACTGCTGTTGTGAAGCTAGTCACACGGTTGTCAAGTGAATCTGGCTTCCCCATTGACTTTGCTTGTCAGAAGGTCGCAAAAAGGGAATCACATGACCCCAGGACACTGCAATGGTCATAAAGATGAGTCAGTGGCCAAGCGTCTGAATTTTGATCACGTGATCATGGGGATGTGGCAATGGTGTTAAGTATGAAAAATTGCCATAAGTCACTTTTTTCAGTGCCCTTTGTAACTTTGAACGGTCACTAAATGAACTGTTGTAAGTCAAGGACTACCTGTATAACACTTGTTGGTAATACTTTAAAGCAGCAGGACTTTTCCCCTTCCTGTCCACCTCAATGCACCTTTTGGAAATGGCCTCTGAAATGCCACCGAGCAGCACAAAACAGATCTGGAAAACCCCCTCTGTCTCTTCCCCAGTCGTTGCAGACATGGAATTATATCTGAATGTTCCCATGGAATAAAATTCTGCTGAAGAAAGCATCCATAGGACCACTTTTCCAAGAACGTGGGCACTTTCTGCACACGGAATGAAAGTATTGGAGGCATTCTGCCCATTCATCCTAAACCATGTGATACAACTATACCAATTAAGCAAAGGGAACAAACATGGCAATTAGTTTCAGTTAATTGGGGGCAGGAATTTAAATGCAGAATGTGAATTTATATTTTGGCAGAAAATTCTGAATGGTCAGCATCTAATGCAATCACTCTGTGAAAGGAAGCTCACAGAGGCTTCCTTTGGTGAATGAAGCCCTTGTTCTGCAAACAGCAATTCCTTCCATTCATGGAGCAATCAAACTGGATTCCATCCAGTGTAAAAAGTTTCAATATACATTCTAGTCATAGACACAGATTATTCTGTGGTAAGAACAGCCAGCACTCTGTTATATATATGCAAGCCTATCTATTTAACATCGGGTTGTTATTTTCTCCCCAAACTCCACAAGGCACATTTTAAAAGTAATGTACTGTATCTCAGTATCTAGTTAAACAATGAAAGAAACAGAGAACAACGGAAAGAGAACAACTGAAAGAAACTTGTTGCTATAGATTGTAATTTTACAGGCCTAGGTTAATAATCTCATTTAATATTTGAATAATAATTAGACACATAGATTTACCTTTTTTTTCTTGGTATTGGCAAAATACTTGTGATTCTTCTAATTTAGCACACAAAAGTCTATATAAAAGTATATTTGTTCCAGCTTTTGAATTTTCTCCCAGAAAGTGAGATGATTTAGTTCATTTATAGTTAAGACACATACATTAAAAAAAAGAGATTTCTTATTTACACTTTAGTCCATCTCATTGCTTGTCATTTTTATACTGTAAAGACAAACTGAATGGAGGAGAAATTCATGTGATTCACATTTTGATGTGAATTTATCTAATCTGTACTTTTCAAACTAGTCTGTGAATTCAAAGCGCTGGTGTACTTTTCTGAATTTTAAGATGTGGTCCTCAAAACAAGAAAAAAATGCACACAAAAATATGACAACACGGGAAAGCAGCAAAGAAAAAATTGATCTTTTATGGAGAAAATACTTGTAAAAAGTGCAGAGTAGAAAAGCAGAACAGGAGAAATATGTCTCAAAATAAATTTTGTGTGCACTTTAAGAGGTCTGGCAGCAGTTTTTCGGCTAGCACATTTTACTAAAAGGCACCAGCTTTTAATAAAACAAGTATTCAAAAAGGTGCAGCCAAACTCCTCCTGATTTTTTTACCACCAGAGACTAAAATGAGTCTCTTCCTACAATTTCTCCTGCCAGAATGAAGCTCAGAAATGATCAAGAAATGCTGCCATTTTTCCAATAAATCACATTCATCATCTGGATTGGTGTGATAATCAGAACATTGCAAAAACTTTTTTATGGGTTGGTTTCCATTTGCTAAGAAAGGTGTGCTGAGAATTCTGGGGAAATTGTTTTAATTTTCTATTAATAATAGTTGTGGGAGGAAAATGCAAGCTGCGTCTCTCTCTCTCTTTCTCTCTCTCTCTCTCTCTCACACACACATAAATGTACATATAAATGTACACACACACACACACACACACACACATGCTTCAAAGCAGGGCACAGAACATCAAGTTTAGAATTTAATGTTAGCAGTTTGAAATCAAAGCAACAAGCCCCCCCTGTTTACAACCAGAGGCAAAACTCTTTCATGCAACCAGGGCTATATGCTCAAGTGAACAAAGAGTAATATGATCCCTGCACCGATGTACAAAAGCAATTTAACACTTTATGGCAACTCTATGATACATCAAGAACTGTTATTAAAGTAATTTTTGGTTCTAGTCAAAAAGGGGTGGGGGAAGGAAGTAAAATAATAACAAAATATTTATACAGTAGTAAGTTTGAATGAATACACAATTTGACCCTTGTTTGGAAGACACCCCCCCCATAGATCCAGTGTGTGTGTGTGTATGTGTGTGTGTGTGGTGTGCATAACAAGAATTATATGTGTTATATATAAAGCAACATAAATAATATATATGATCCCATATATATATATGTTAGTAGTTCAGAGGTAGAAAATTATTAAAAACTTCTAACTGATTCAGGATTCTTTACTATGTTGTCTGTTGGATGAAAATTTGATGAACGAGAAAGTAACATCAGAATATAATTTACTTGTGAAAAGCTGCCAAAAGCTGCTTTTAGCTTGTAGCCACATGCAGGTCTAGAAAATAAGAATATACTTAATTAAATAGCAAGTGTTCACACTTCCTCTCAGAATGTAATAACACTTGAGCTTTTGCATGACCAAAACTAGATTTCTATTCCTTAATTAATATAAATAAAATAGTATATGGCCCGTTCTGGAATATGAAGTGTCTGTGTGAGTAGGGTTGTGTATTCATTAAAGCATTTAATACCATATTACTGGATTTCAGACATACAAGTATTGCTAAATATTCTCAAACTCTGCTCTGAACTATCTCTGATTTTTTTCTAAAGATTTGAGGATCTAAAGGAGGCTGTCTGAGAGAAACAATCCAATTCTTTTCCCAAAGGTACTTTTTCAGGAGGCAACTGGACATTCTTGTTTTTTCTTGGAAGATGTTTCGCTTATCATCCAAGAAGCTTCTTCAGCTCTGACTGGATGGTGGGGAACAGAAAGATTTATACTTATAATCCAATTCTTTCTGCAGATGGGCGTATTGGACATAATTCTTCATATGCTGAACATGAAGGGAGTCAGTGCCAGTACAAACAAATCAACAGATAGGACATGCAGATGTTTCTCTCTTATCTCAACCTCTTTTCAGCCATATATTACACAATTGGCCATGTAAGCACATAAATAGAAATATTGTTACAACATTAAGCAAGAACATTAGCATGGATAATTCATTATTCTAATTTGGCCCCATTCATCTGGGTGTGTCATCTCTCAAAGCAAGCCTCAGAATCTTCTAACTCAGTGGTTCTCAACCTGTGGGTCGGGACCCCATTTGGGGTCGATCGACCATTTCACGGGGGTCGCCAAGCAAGGCTGTCCACCATTTTTTCTGCCCACCATTTTTTTGTCCACCATTTTTTTCCCCTTTTCCGGCGGGTGCCTTACCTCCCTTGGGCTGGGCCAGCTGGTGGTCGGCCTGGTCCGTCTCTGCCGCTTGCCAGCTACGCCTCGGCCGGCGCAGGGGGCGGAACCACGCATGCGCGGCGCTCCCGGGCAGGGAAAGTCCTCGGCTTACGACCGGTTGGGTAGTCCTCGACTTACGACCGGTTTAGTCCTCGACTTACAACCGGTTTAGTCCTCGACTTATGACTGGTTTAGTCCTCAACTTACGACTGGTTGGGGTCGCGGCATTAAAAAGGTTGAGAACCACTGTTCTAACTGTTGTAGCTATGCTCAATTAGTAAATGTATTTAGAAGTCAGCCCTGACATTCTTTAATCATTTATTCTCTTTAGTTACAAACAACAAAACTAGCTTTCGGGGTAGTGAGTGCCTTCAGCATTATTATAATTTACATGAAATTTAAGAGAAACCTTACCTGGGATTCTAGGTTCTTCCGTGAGGATGCAGGGGTGTTGGCGTAAGAGCTGATGGAGGAGCTTGTATTAATGTCATCAGTGCTGAGGTTATCTATGGTATCACTGATACCACTGCTGACGGAACTGCTGTCGTCCCAGCTGCAGAGAGGCAAAAGAATCCCCATAAAGATAACTCAAACAAGCAGCTACCAATACACACAAAAAAAGCAGAGTTTCAAGAAAATATTAAGACCTAAGCGGTTTAAGCTGTTTTCAAAATCTTCCAGCGTAATCCAGCAATATCCTAAGCAAACATCTCAGGTAATTTTTCACCCCGCTTTTAGACCTATTCTTAAAAAAATAAGGTTGCTTTTAAAGAAATGCTACTACAAAACTTGGAAGGAACAAGAGAAGCAGCTGCAATTTAGGGAACAATGAAGAAAATCATTCTGAATTTGAAAACAGCAATCCAGAAGTCGTCATAATATTCAGTTAGTTCTTATTTTAATTATTAAATAACAGTTTCTGAACTTTAAAAATGCTTTACAGGGATGCACTGCATTTCTTGTTACCATAATTTTGTGTTGAATGCAATCGTTCTGCCTTCACCAATAATGGGGATCAAAGTTTCAGCTTATCTTCATTATTATTATTATCAGCAGCAGTCCTGGAACTTGTGCAGACCAGCTGTTCACGGGCTTGTGGTACAGCTGGGTTTACATGGTTTAAATTGGCTGAATTTATTCTGTTTTTGAAGGGGAGCAGAGTTTAAAATCTCACTGCCACCCCCTCTCACAATTTAGTGTTCTCATAAAGTTAGCTGCTTTCTTATTGGCTGTATCTGGATATTGCTGTATCTTGTATCTTAAATATATAGCAATATATTATGCTTCTTATTATTTATATGACCAATTGTTGGCAAACCTTTAATATTTCATGTAAAGACAGCACTATATGAAAAATTACTATAACATATGATTTCTATTAAAATGTACATCAAATAACCTTGATTTTTTCAAAATGATATTTTACTTTTTATCAAAGGCCACCTGTATTTCTCTTTTTTTAAATATACCAATTGTTTGTTTCCTTTCTTTTCCTTCTATTTACTCAGTGTGTTCTTCCCAATACAGGTTTTCTTAGTTTTAGGCATTATTTTTCATATATAAAAAAAGTCTTAATTTGAATTCTACCAAATAACAATCTACCATGTCACCATTGGTTATTTAATTATATGAGAATTTATGGAGAACATTTCCTTTGTCTCAATTTTACCAATATTTCAGAGAAGCTTACCACAATATACTATTAAGATAAAATTTATACATCATTAAGCATAATTGCCAAGGGTGTTTGGTGCATGAATATCTATGTATTAAAGTTATGATATTCTACAACCAGCAAGCAGTATTGGGAAATATCACATGTAGCAGGGTGAAGGGGTCCTTGGGAACTGGATAGGCATGATTGAGAAACCAGAAAGTATCAAATGAAGCAAACTTTGAACTGCTTCAAAGAGGAACTCATTTGTGTTCCCCAGGGATGCCCTCAAAGTGCACGTGTGTGCAGGCCACCTTTCATAGGTGTCCCTGACAGAAGGATCTGCTCTTTCATCAACCTTCTCAATATACAGACTTCTAAATTCAGGTGCAATTGGCAGAATGTAATATAGGATAAGAGGTGTATTCAAAAGGGGCATGCTGGCTCTAATTTCCAACATTTTAACCATATGATCATATACCTCAGTTTTTAAATAACCAGCTATCCTTTTCTACCAAGTACAAAAGCAGGATTAGCATGTTCAAAACTACAGATGCAAATTTGTAGTTCCCTGAACATGTGAATGTAGCCCAGAAAGTAATGCAACTACATATGCTGTTGTAACTTTCACATTACATGCTTTGCATTAAATACTGTACAACTGCAAAGAAAAAATATGAATATTTATGCATTTTTCACAGGCAGCCCTAGGGAATTATTAGGCACTCACCCAGCTGTTTGCAATTTATTACAAAATGTGGCACATAAACAGTAGCTGGAAAAAATGAACTCAGAAGATATGATCTGGGACTGAGCTACTAATTTCAGTAAATAACTGGCAGACTATGATTTGGGTCAGATGTACTAATTCTTCTTATTGATTCAGAATGCAATCTCCTCTCTTCTTTCTTGCAGAAAAAAAAATCTTCCACAAACACTAATTATCTTCTGAGTTTATGGGATATAGGGATATAGTTTTCTGCCATTTCTTTGAATTGAGAAAAATAAGGACATTGATTTAATCTCTGTGCAGTCATATAATTCTACTATAGTATACTAATGCAATATATATCAAAGCTAACAATGATATTTCCATGGAAAGTACAAAGGATAGGAAAAGGGGCCATACAATCTAATACTCACTGCTAAAGAACTGTACCATGTTTTTTTCTTTAAGCAACAAGAATATATTTCTGTTGGTACTATATCATAAAAAAGGCTTATGTTGTAATATATCCAACTGACGTTTGTGGGAGGCACAGATGATAAAATGTATTTCAGTAAAGTCTAAAGGTAAGGCTAGAAAAGGGAAATACAATAGCTCTCTTGCTTTCCAGACTCTGTAAGCAAAGATAGGATCATTGCAATTTAGCTAAGGCAATTAAAAACCTAAAAATCTATTCAGCTATAACTTCCTTTTACTCAGTTGACCAATCAAATGAAATGTATGTTGGATACTTGAAATCATGTATTTAAAGGCTTCATATTCTATCTAATGAAAAACACAACTTTAAAAAGGTTGAAAAAAATATTGGAATACATTTTGTGAAATAAAGCATTAAAATTGTGAGAGGATGGATAGTTTCTTCAAATAAATGTTAACAAGGCCTCCATGAACTGTGAAAAAAATCAATTTATAATTTATTAAAGTTTGATTATTTTAATATACTTGTTGCCTGTTAACTCCTATGACTCTGTCCGGAGTCAATCCTTTAAAAATAGGACATATAAACAAACAAATAATTCCTGGTGTTATGAATCAGAATCACAAGAAATCTCCTTTCCCCCAAATTCTGAAGCTGATATCAGACATAAAGAAAAGAATACAGAATGAATTAATTGCCTTGGAGAATGCCTCTCAGTGCCTTGCAGAGTGTCATCCTGGCATGATTTCCCCATAAGCAGCCTCCCAATCTTAACTATATTCTGATTAACGATTACTGAAGGATTTTCCTAGGTTGCAGCCAGCAAATTAACTCTTCCCATAATTCTACAGAAGAGTAAATGCTGCTGATTATATTCAGAGGAACTTTACGTATACATATATAATCATGAAATTCTAGATCTAATATGAATATATATTTAGAACTATGATATGTAAAATTCATATTTTGGGTAACGTACTTACAAGCATAATTTTCAAGTCTATCATTTCTGCATGCAATCACTTTTGTGATGGCTGATTATGAACATTACCAAATTCAGCACTGCTGGGTGCAGCCAGCCTCAGGAATTCAGCCTCTTCAGAAAAGTAGGATAATAAAACTGTTGTGTCCTGAGCCTGCAAAAGCAGGCTTGGGACGTTGCAATGGTCCGGGGCTTTGCAAAAGCTGCCCAGGACCAGACTGAGCGGCGCCGGCCTTGCGCGCATGCGCAAGGCGGGAGAAGTGCCTGTGCTCGGTCGCCATTTTGTCCGGGGATCTGGGCATATAAAAGGAGGCCTGCGTGCCGTTGCTCTTGTGACTAGCTGAAATAAAGACTGTTCAAGTAAGATGTGTCTTCATCATTCGCCATCAATGCGAGGACTTAACAAAAACCAATAATTTTAAAGAACATACGTATATGCTGTTCTCCAACAGTCTCCAATGTTACTTCTCAGCATTGCTGAGCTATTCAAAGACTTACAAACCAAGTATGGAAGTCTCATAATTATTTCTGAGAAATATCATCACTTTAATGATTTGTTTGTATTTGTCTACTAGGATAGTCAGGTGTATATATTTTTCAAAAATTCTTCCCAACCAAGAATGACATTCAGGTGCTATTAAGAGGTTTACTGAACTGGAAAGAGGTGGAAGGCACTTTCTTGTAATATATTAAGTAATATATTAAGAGTTTGAGAGTAACTCTCTTTGTAGTTAAAAATTCCCACAAAGGTTACCTTACACTTCAGAGAGGAAGACCTTGTGATATTTATATTGGTAACTTTCTAAATGCCTTCTTTCTAAAACACTTCAGGTTGCATTTCAAACTGGGAATTTGCTTGCTAATTTCCCTTTTTTCTAAAACATTAGCTACTCACTTTTTTTTAGTACAGTATAAAAAAGAATTTTTAAAGGAAGGAAAAGGCCACAGAGCATGTTCAATTATACCATAAAACAATTTGTTCCGATTGTGCCCCTTTGGGACTTCACCAAATACTGACATCATGGTATGAGGAATTTCAAGAACAATATTGTATGGGATTTGTTATCAAAGTTGTGTTATCAGCCTGCGGGTTAAATGAAGACATGCTGCTGCAAGCTGAAAAAATAAATTAGGGGAATAATAATTTTATCTTTTAAAACTCTGCATTTCCAGCGATTTAAAACCAAAAGGTCCTGTTTTGTAACCTTCCCCTAGTTTATTAAAACATCATTTAAACACAATCATGTATCAGGTTTTTCATCACATTTCTTGATCTTATTGCAAAAAGAAGCCCCTTTTCACTTTGGCTATCTATTGGTATAGACCAGGGGTAGGCAACCTTGGCTCTTTTATGACTCATAGACTTCAACTCCCAGAATTCCTGAGTCAGCTATGCTGACTCAGGAATTCTGGGAGTTGAAGTCCATGAGTCATAAAAGAGCCAAGGTTGCCTACCCCTGGTATAGACCTTGAAGAAATAAACCCATCCCCAGTACCAGCACCTCCCTGATGGATCCTTCTTTCTGAGTTTTCCTCCCATAGAATTATTTGATCATCATAATTTAAGCGTCTTGCTCTATTTATTTGCCTTCTTCTTAGTCCACTTCACCAATACATCATATAGATAGATAGATAGATAGATAGATA